CAGTAGCTGCAGTGGATGCCGCATTACCGGAGGAAAGCAGCCAGAGGTGGGGAGAGGACGTTGCGGTATTCAGCTCAATTACTGTACCTTTGACCTAAATCCTCGTCTCTAACAGAAAACACATCGATGCCGAAGGAGTCCAACTTGCCAATGAGAACATTCTGTTAATCTGCGTGTTTCTGTGTACAAAGGTTAGGGGCAAATAAGTGTTTAGGGCTGAAACCGAGGAAGGACGCTAAAGCGTTGCCACTAGTCTTGGTGCACAGTGCACAAAACCGCCACTCCCTCTTTTGAGAACAAGCAGTTGCGTACGTAGTGCGTATGTATGCTGACTATCCGCCTGACCATCACTTCATCTTATTTTAGGGTTTACAAGTTTGAGATCCATAGTATATTAGGAGTACAGCGTTACGGAATAAAATTTGGAAAGGCCATAGTTTATTGTGAGTCACTTGAAATGGGGTTGAGTGTAAGATTCATTTCGGTTCATCATGGAAAATATGATATCCACTGGCCAAGAGATAGGCCCCAGTCAAAGCCGGTTGTGCCTTTGCTTTTCTCTTGGAAACATGTACACCTAAACCAGCGAAATCGCAAATGTCTAGAATGATGTCACCAGTGCCCCACCTTCCCTTTTTACTTATGCTTCACTCACTGAGTAAGAAACAGCAAAAGACATGCTGCAGTGACTTCGTACCGCAGACCTCCATAAACGTCGTTATATATGAAGGCATGCTTTTAACTCTCCATGAAATTATGAAATGAAAGCAAAACGACCTTCGACGAAAAGCGGACCATCGGTTTTAACTCGATAGAATATCTTTTGATAAACATTCGTCTCGTTAAATTTGAAGTACTGAATCTAATGCAATCTTAATAGTAGGATATGCAAGAAATTGCAGCTAACTGGAGCTTTGCACCGTGCTTTTCATCAAAACTAATTAAACTTTTGTTTTGTTCTCGAGGTTTTTATATTTAGTTTCCAATAGCGCACTCTGCAACACCAGGAAACATTGACCTTTATTTGAGATTGGGAATTGGCCGTAATCCAATCTTTGTGAGACAAAGTTTGTCACCTTAACTCTTTGCGGTTTGCTGAGCGAAATGGATCATCCCATCGGCAGTTCTCTATTTGTGCTTTGCAAAATCACACTCGGGTGATTCGATCTTCACCAAGAGCCCCCGATTTGGCACCGAGATAAACCCAACCACACCCACTAATTAGCTAGAAATCAACTTGTGGCTAAATTGATCTGGAAAAGTTGGTGCATTTACGAGGAGGACGCTGCATCCTGTTTTAGATATACTGTGTGGCGCACGGAAACTAACGTGTTTGTGTCTTACACATCGAGAGCGATTATGACGCCAAACCAAATGACACAAAAAGTGAAAACAACAGCACCAAGAGGCGTGCATGGCTAGAATTTGTGCTTTATTGCATTCGAATCACATGCCAAAGCGAACGTTTACAAGTCAATTGTTTCACCTTGCGTGCATCAGCTGATAGTTTTGTGCGGCGTCAGTAGTCAAGAGCCGACTGTCGGTAATCATGATAGTTTGCCTAATTGGGCGTTACTGCAAGTTCCGTGTTATTGACTTGCCAGTGTCCATCAATTCTCGAAAAATGTAACCTGTTGTAGTGTTCTAGCAAAAAGCTTACTTGGGCAGAGAGATTATAAGGTTGCTGAAAATTCTTCGACAGCCGACAACCAGTTTCGCTTTTCTTGGGGCTCATCAGCTAAGCGCAGTCCCAGAATTTCCATCACCTTTATGTTCCATGTTAAAACAAATTGCATGAAATTAGCGAAACACACTCATTTGCAAACGAATTTTGTTTTCCGAGAGACTCGTCCGGAACCCAGCTGAATCACTCTTCTGTGATGTTTCCAGGCAACTGAATGTGCTACACCGGGCCGCCTCATGTTTCAGTCACTACGATATTCGAGATATCACGATACATAGGTATTCGTAATACACTACCTATAAGGTTGCTGAAAATTCTTCGAAAGCCCACGGTGTTCCTTAAGAGGTTTATCTAGTTCCGTTAGAGTTCCTGGAAAGACGATGGATGGATGTAGAGTGTAGTGTGATGAGTCTAAGAAGGAAAGGGGTACAGGTTATACAGATATGCCTGCCACTGTAGATATTCGTGACCAGATGAGTTCGTCACATTTATCGAGATACCGATTCGATTTGCCATGTCACAACCATCCAGATAGCCGTCGAGACACTATCTTGCGTAGGAATGGCCGAATTCACTTTTATATAATGCGATTACAAAGCCTACTTGTCGAGAATCTGATAAAAAAAAGTCCCGATTGCACTATACACCATCAACGTGTAAACCAGTGCACAAAATCCCGACGACTTCATCTGCGTTGACAACATACAACTGGTAAAAATGACTGAGCTAAGATTCATTCTAAGAATTTTAAGTCACACCAACAAGTACCGAGTATGTAAACCTGAACTATGGGTTAAAAAGAACTGCAGCTTATTGCGTTCCTGAACCCTTATCTAGTGCATAAACTCTTCTGAGCCCTCAGTATGTACGACTCTAAATATCCTGACAGATTCTGCCTTTTTCAATTTGGAGACTGTGAGCTTGAATTCTGAAGGATAGAACCAATCCAATGAATCCAACATCGAATTAGCAATCCATTTTTCGTTCAAAAATAGTCCTCTACAACAAGTCAGCGCAGCAGATGGTACTATCAAGCCTCTCCTGAGAATGGTCTCATTTCCAAAGGATCGCACACCCACTCATGCCCGACAGGAAAATCTATTACGCGCTCCTCAGAGTAGTATACCCTCGTCAGAGGAAAACCTTGTGAAAGATTTCACCAATAACTGAAGGGGTACAAAGTGTGGGAGTCTAAGAGGGCAACGAACTAGAATGTTTAAAAAAACCCGTATTCTTCATTGATCAACAAGACAGCACGTTGAGATATCTTGAGTTGCCTGGTGGAGGACTACTGTTCGCACACTGCATTGGTGCTGTTATTGTGCCTACCCAGTGTGCTATGTCTTCAAAGGTCGAGTGGTTTAGGACAACCAAACAAACAAACAACGGAGCTTCGATAGTTAGAAAATAACTCAAATGAAACATAGATTTGACGGAAACTCGGGGACTGCGTCTACCTGATGAGCCCCAAGAAGGGCGGAAACGGTCGTGGGTTATCAAGGAATTTTCAGCAAACTTATGAGTAGTGTATTACGTTTGAACTCAGCGAAACATTAAAAAGAATGATCACTGAAGAAAAAATTATTCCAAAATTCTTTGTCTTGATAAAGGATATCTACTTATAGGAGAAATTCCTTAAAAAACAGACATGCAGTTGATGGTTGTGTTGGTATACTCCGAAATTAAAGGTATTCATTTTTAGAGAATAGTTAATAGTTACCTTTGAACACAATAAACAGTAGATATCCCACAAGCTTACACTTATTTTTAGCAATTTAACGTTTGATCTTTATTAACGAAGCGAAGGCCTAATTGAAACGGAAGTATTTTCAGACGAACTAGTAATCCTCTTCAGGATCGTTCGTTTCATCAAGTGTTCGGGGTTATTGAACATTGGGGATTTCAAGAAAGTGATGGCCTACCAACCGGATGAAAAGCAGTAATATTCTCACTGTGTGACATCTGCTCACAGCCTGATTTTGTACAGATCCTGTAGGAATGTGTCGCAGAACCTTGGTCCACTGAACTAGCTCAGTGTCATTCAGCAACAGTCGTGTGTACAACACTCCATATCAAGAATTAAGTATTCGATGGGTTGAATATCAGACAAAGCAAACCCACACACCCTTTTTAAACGCTCCAAGACATTGTGAATATGAGTCATTTAACTGTCGACTGAACCTTCTGTTAACCCGGCTAGCGGCTCCAAGACATTGTGAATATGAGTCATTTAACTGTCGACTGAACCTTCTGTTAACGCCGGCTAGCGTGCAGACGAGTAGTTGCTCGTTTAACATCTGTGACTGAATAACTTCAGGGTAACTAATGTGCCATGAATCCGGCTAACGGAGACCACGATATGCTGACTTCCTCCATGTCCGAAAACGCAGTTCAGGCAGCGGTACCTTTGATCAATGAGGCAAAGTTACAAGGTCAAGCCTGTTGGACGGTAGTCTGAGGACTACACCTTCCCCTTTCTTGAGCCCACACAAAATGTCACTTCCGGTTAAATGAAGTCATACAGCCAGACGGGCGGTGCCTTGGGGCTAAAAGCAAAAACGTTACAGAAGTTGCTCAGTGCAGCCATAAGGGGAAAGATAATGTAACAACGAAACAACCTTTGCAGTCAGTTGCCATAATGAAATCGAAGTAGCTCTCTGTGAACAGGTCCTCGTTGTCTTTACGTCAGCAAAACTATCACAGTTCTCTTGCCCTGTAAATTCTGTTCTTTAGATCAATATATCAACCGACTCAAGCGGAAAGTTATCAGTAATAACCTGAAGTATATTTGAACATGAAAAGTAACAAGCTCCCGATAAATCATGGTCAAGAAGTGAGACTTTCGTGGATGAAAAAAGTGTTTCACTTCCTGGAGTAAAGTTTCTTTGTCACCATTTCCTGTTGAGTTGAGAGGAAATCCAACAGAAAGACTTTTAGATCCGTTCCATTTCTTCAAGGAATACTGCATGTTCAAAAAGATCTACTGCACCGAACACGCTCAATAAGGGCCTACAGTGCTTACAAAGGGTTATAATAGAGTCAACAACCGTTGGAGTCAGGTTAAAAAAGTGGAGTGCTTTCCGATTCGGATATCCACTCGCTTGTTGCGCACGCCGAGCCTTGGAAGCAGAAAACACATAACGATAAACCCCAGACACTCAAGGGAAGAGCTCGATGGGCATCTAATAATGATAAGAGACTGTTCTGACTATCAAACACGTCAAGGATTAGGTGTGGAGATTCCGGAGGAACTCATCTTCACAAAATGACTACCGTATCCTGCTGCAAAAGTCTCAACTACATCTACTTTTTTCAGGCAAATTGGTTTCAGAGGGATGAATGCCGATCGTTCACATATCGCAGCGGAAGCTGACATCAGTTCAGCTCTTGGGTTCTGCAAAAGTCTCAACTACATCTACTTTTTCCAGGCAAATTGGTTTCATAGGGATGAATGCCGATCGTTCACACATCGCAGCGGAAGCTGACATCAGTTCAGTTTGCTCTCGGGTTGAGTCTGCATACTATTCTCCGAACAGACTGCATACGAGCTCTCACCGTGGTGTGCACTAAACCGCACCGCAGGTTCCTTCGGAGATCTGGGCAGGTATCGGGTAGTAAAGCCTCTTTATAAAGGTCGCCTCGCGTTTGAGATATTTTCCGAAAGCTTCATCAGCTTGCCGTTTAAATTTCCAGACGAATTAGAATCACTCTGAGGTCCCATGCAGCCGAAGGGTATTGCATTGCTAAGTGGTAAGTTTTACATTCATATCAATTCATTATGCATTTTGATTTTTGAACTCGTAAGCGAATGCTAATGGTGTTCTATTTTGACATTGACTCCTGAAGAACTATCGAGTGAGCATATATAATTGCTCAAGTGGGACCAATTCCAAATCTGTATTGTCACGTGATTATATCGAGACTTGTCTCCATTACCGACCGATATCTACTTCCTCACGAGTTTTTCCTGCTCGATCTTTTTGACCGGAGGTACACCTGTTTGCTAACGGAAGCCGAACCTATGTCTTATCCCGAATTTCGAGTGCTTTTTAGTGAAGCAAACTATCGGATGTTTGCTCAGCTCTGAAGACTGTGTAAGCAAACCACTTTAATGGACGAACTTCTGCATGCACCACCGATGAAGAATGGCGCAGACTTGAGGAGCACTGGGAGCTGGAGATAAGGTTAGATTGAAGTCATCCTAAAGTCCATCCGTGTTCCAAATGTACAAACCACATAGAATGTCAAAAGACCTGTGTTTACACATTTGGCTAACGTTCCCATATAGACCTTGTCGTCTTATCTTTCGGCTCTCACTGAGCACAACTCCCAAGAGTCGTTGTAAGTTAGGATCATTACACAGCTGCCACACTGCTTCAGTCGCGTACCACACGAGTGGGCCACCATTGTGGCGTTCTTCCCGCTGGTGGGTAGGCGATAGACAACGCTGGCCATGCGTACTAACGAGTTTTTTCTACACCCCGGGTACATAGGCCCTAAACCGGTGTGCATGTTGGTCGTGTTAAAGCGGAACCCTATACTCAAGGAACACTTCTTCCATTTGGACCACTAAACCATTAACTTTAGTGAATTTCGTTCGCTGCTGTTGAATTTAGCCGAGACTTACCAGTACATAGAAATCAGCCCATGGTAATGATGTTCGCTCTTCAGACGTTTCACTGCCACGGTGACACTGAGGATTTCTGGTTCAACGTGAACATGGATCTGTGATCGTCCTGCGCATGTAACGATATCCGAACATTTTCAAGCATCTGGTGCAGCAAATGCAACCCTGACTTAATTATGCGGCGTATGAGGCCCTTCCGGCGGGAGCCCTCGGATGGTTCACGGTTGAGCCTAGCTATCACCCTGATATAAAACACATCTGCGAAAACATTCTTTCGTATGAAAACCATAACACGTTCTCTTGCAACCCCGTTTCTGTAAAAATCCTTAACAACCAAGCGATTAAGGAGTTCAGCATTCGACTCAATGAAGTTTAAAGTTCACCGGTACTCGGATCCCTTTATTGGGCTAGATTAGATGAAACCACAGTATTCATGTTAGGAGATAATATTCAATCATTATCTTGCGTTTTATTGATTGAATAGGGTAAGAAAAAAAGAAATGCTTCAGAAATGAGTAGTGCAATGCACCATAGGGAGGAAGGGCGAGAAAACACCACCGCACAACCATCGACGGTTACACTTGACATGGGTAGGGTCACTGGGAGCAGCGGTAAAACAAATGCAATAGACCTGACCGTGACAAGGTCATCACATCCATCAAGTGTACGCTTGATTAAAGCACATCCGTGTTGATAGCTAGCTAGAAACGTTGCTCGCAATGGCAGAGAATGCTGACCTTGTGGAGCTCTGACGTCCAGTTGAGGAGCCGGAGTAAACGGGGTTAAGGGGATAGAACAAGACAAACAGCATCAAAAAAGAAGGCACAGGAAGCGAAACAGAGTAGTAGAGCTTGAAGAGCCATGCAGTGGGTCGATCAAATGATAAAAATACAGTGGCAGCTGTACATGAGAGTAAACGATTTCAAGAAAAAGAGAGCAGGGTACATGTGAAAGTAAAGAATAAGGGTGCGAAATGAGATCTCGGAAATAGCCGCGAGAAACCACTGAAGAAAAGGGTACAGAAAGACATGGTTCGATAGTCAGCTTACGATACAGCACGCGTAACCTTACAAAAGAACCAGTTATGCACATGAGGATATTGATGATCAACGAAGTTAAAATACAAAAATCATGAACCATACAGAAGGGAAGGAAAGCGAAACAGTAGCAGACAACGTTGGTGGTTCAGTTTTATCAACAGGGTGTGTACGCTTGACAGAGATCCAAGAAATAAATACAAAGGTAGATTGCCCAAAGAGAGGTGTAGTAAAGACACGTGCGTTTATTATTAATGCTAACCGAAATCAGTAAAAAGGCTGTACACAAATGCATCTCGTTGTTTTCATCAAAATGAAATTAACACAGATGTTGGCATAAATGATAACCAGATCCATCATCACCTGGTTTCATCATGGTGGCGGCAGTTTGCGTACTTTGCAGATGTTCGGTGCAAACGTGGAGTCTCGACTGCAGAACCGGATGGAAAGCAGTATCGAGTCCCCGGATGACGGTGCTGACCGACCGAAGATTGCGCACGAGGATTTTGTGCGTGAATTCTGACAGTGGAAGGATTTAACAGAGAAGGACAAAAAGAGTTCAGTGAGCTGCTGTTTACTGATGGGCTGTTTACGAGAGAGTGACCAAGAGGAGCTGACTCGGACGTGTTGGAGAGGTTCGGATGGTGTGATTCACATAAATGCCTATTTTCTTCGACAGCAGTCGTATAGGAGGGTGGTGGGGATGGAGTAAGCCTGCCGCGCCCAGAAAATCTGGGCTTTTGAGTGGTTCCAAAAGCCAGGAAGGTACATTCCGCTTCATCTTCGGAGTCATGCGGATGGCCGGGAGCTGGTCTTTTCCCATCGTCATGTAGCCCGAACTCTGGCGGAAACACAGAGAATTGACGCAACAGGTTGATAGCTGGACCGTGCTTAGTCAGCAGTTTAGACAAGTCTAGCAGATCGATTGAATCAGTGCCCCGAGATTCGGAAACTGTGGAACGGGAAGAGACAGTATTAGGAGCAAATCCGGGGTTCTCCTGAATTCCGCCGCCGCCCGATGATGTAATGTGATTAAGGCTTACAATAGAACTCGCATGAGAAGGTTCTTCTGATATGGTGCTCAAGCTAGCGGGTCTGGAGCGAGCAGAAGCCGCAGCTGCTGCTGCCATTACAACGGCGGCTGCAGCCGCAGCTGCGTCTGGCGAAGCAGTAGAACGACTAGACTGACTGGTGTTCACCTGGCGTGATTTTACGTTAGCCAGTTCACGTAATTGTCTGCTGCATAAGTCGTACAATTGGTTGCTTGTATACTCGCTCAGCAACTTAACCGGAGTTGTGCGCAACGTAACGGGTTGAATTAGAGTGGCCGTTGGAATTGTGGGGCTATGAGCTGATGCTGCGGATGCCTCTTGTACTGATTGTTGTTGTCGCTCACCACATGCGTGTTTATCAATCGGAAGAAAATCCGGGAAATGGGTTGTCACGGTGTGTGTGGAAGGGGAGGAAGCGAGTGGCCATGAAGTAGATAAAGAAATCTTCTTCGGTGGGTTTTCGCCATCGTCCTTGAGGGCGGAATCAATAGAGCGTAACTTGTTCTGGAACCGGCGGCTTCTCACAACAGAAGTCGTCTTCCGGCTAGCTGAATGTTGTACGATACTCACCGGCACGAAGTACTGAAAACAAAAGGTACATGTTAGACACAGCTTGGATGAGTATCGACAAAGCAATAAGAATGTTAGAGTTAGGAGTCAGAAAACGTTCACGACTAAAAACCCAATACGAATTGTAAGCGGCTGGACAACTCACTTGATGAAGTGGATGAAGAAGATGACACAGCGTGGGTATGAGGCAGGTTGCGTTGAACAGGCATATGATGCTGACCACAACCACTAAAGAAAAGAAATAGCTGCAAGAAAAAGAAATTGTAAACCCGGTCTAAGAGTTTGGAACAATAGGCGTGACATTTGAGTTCTCAGGCCAGCAGAAATCCTAAAGAACATGTTGGTCTCGGGATACTTTGGTAAACTTAGTATTCAAAAATAAGATTGAGGTCAACGTTGTTATTACCAAGTACTCCTTTGAAGAACACACTGTTTCCATGATGACAATGAAATAATTCATTTGGTTATTTGTACTACGATGGACAATCTTCATCTAAGGAGAACGATTTGATAGGTCAACTCAAAGGTTACTCTCTCAATATGTAACACGGGTGACGGGAAATCGGAAAGTTTGTCGTGGAACCTACCGAGACTACTAGAGACATACGGAAAACACTCCACGGATACTTTAACGAAGCTGTCACAAACAAGCGACCAAAGGCGCACTAGAAACCCCAATTACTTAAGAAAAATCCAGCAAAACAGAGGTGTGCCTAAACGGACAAAAACACAAAGACCAGCTACCAATGAAAAAGAAGCTACAAACTTACTCAGCTATGAATTTGACACGAGAAGCGGCCAACAATGCCACGGCTACCACAAGACCAACAATCGAGTGTAGAGAGGAGGCAAACTGACTGCTCAAACTGCGCACAAAATGGGTTCTTGCCGAACTGCCACAAATGACACTGCGGTCACTGGACCTCACCGAAGGGGGAAAGGAATTCGTTCGAAGGGAATGAGTGATATAATCTTCTTGCTTCTCCAGTGATTCTACAGGTATAACTGGGACCACCGAAGACTTCAGACTGCGCCGTGTGCTGCAGTACTGGGTAGTGGTAGACGAACAGCCTGGTTTGTGGTTGCCATGATGTCTGCACACGCAAAATCCACGTCCGTTTGTTGAATGAAGATTAGAAAGGCGAGTAAAGAATGATGAATAGCCATGAGCTTTTGACCAACTCCCCAGGAATCCCACTGCAGTGCGGGCACCAAGGCCCGCAGAGAAAAGTATCAATCCAGAAGAAATTGGATTCACTTCCAAGCCCAAAAGAACAAGACCGCATATGGCAGCACAAACTCCGCCTCCACCACCAACCAACACTAATAGGAGTACAATGACAGGTGATGAGAACAGGAGCAGAGAAGCCGTGAAAATTATACCGAAGAAAATACCCAGAGCAACGGCTGACTCCCGAGCCAAGTACAGATAATGTTCGGTGAATGTGAATGGAGTACCAGCTGGAAAAGTGGGAACACCCTGAGCGGTAGCACTCTCCGTCAAAAAGCGCACGTCCTACAGAGAGAAATGAACAAAATAAAACCAGTTTTAAACCAAGGCTAGTGATGAAGGGTATGGAAAAAACGTCAGTTTGACGCAGTAAGAATAATGGAGGCTGTCGAAGAAAAAGTACGGGCCAGTAGTTATTTTGAGCCATTTTGGGCGTCTCCTGTTTCAGGTTACTGAAAAAGCGACGACTGTAATGGTTATGCGAATACCTGAAAACGGGCTTTCCAAAACTTCACTAGCTCATTTACAACTCTCAAAATGGTGCTGCCGTCCTACAGGACAATAGGGAACCCAGTTCGGCACCATCAAACCAGATTTGGAGCTGTTCGGTCTTTGCACTGGCATGCAGTACGCGTTGCTGGAATCAGACATGGGCATCGATCAGTCCGGATCTGGTTTCTGGTCAGCGTTCGCGAGAACTCAGCACGGGATACCTGTTAAGACGACTTATCCTTGCAAAGAAGCTGGCTTCATTGGATAAGTAGGTGAATGCGAACAAAATTATCGAAATCACGCAATCCTAAGACTGAATTCGAGCCAAACTGCAACATGAGCATACTGTGGACGATCAGATACCGAAAAAGGTCTTATACCAGGAACACATTCGTACATTGTAAGCTAACTTCAACTCAGTTTCGTTCACCGATGATTTGGGGAAGTGGGGTAGATAGCTGCGCATTGGAGGCGGGATCTGATAAATTAGTGCGTAAACACAGCACTGTAGGTGGACTGTTAAATGGAGAGATTGGGAAGGGAGCTATGCATTGAAGGCAATAGCTTGGATGCATAAGTGCCATTGAGGGAGCTCAATGTTACGAATAGTATCCAGAAGTTTCCATCAAGTTAGATGCAAAATTTATATTGCGCGGGAATTCAGAGCAACTCATCGAATCTCCCGAAATGGAAGCCAGCCTCATCGAATAGAGAATTCCGTTATGACTTCAATCCCATCGTCACCCACCCATCGTGATTATGATGGAAGGCATTACCACAGACTTCAATGCATAGCTCTCTTCACAATCCTCTCACTTAACAGTCCACCTACAGTGCTGTATTAACGCACCAATTTGTCAGCTCCCGCCTCCAATGCGCAGCTACCTACCCACCTTCCCGAATCATCGCTGAACGAAACTGTGGCAGCTACAACCACTGCACGACAAGTACGCGGTTATTACAGCTGATAGTGATGATGACTATCTCCCCAAATTTCGATAGCCTTCTCTGAGTTTCATCCGTTTACGGATGCGATACTCGGGTTTCGACACAGCAATCATCTGCATCAATTAAAAATACAATTAATCTAAGGCCAACAACCCTATGAGATTGGTAGCAGCGAAAGTCCGGCTATGAATATCAGAATTGGTGCTGATTTCAATTACAATATTATCAGGCTGGACGATAGAAAATTGGATTCGGAAGCATTTGCGAGAATCGCTATTCAGTGACCTTAGTCGGTAACAATCTGAGGATAAGATACCGAATGGGTTGAAGAAAAGTGGGTTGCTAATCTGTTTTCGTTCCGATATGAACAGTGTAATCTTCCACATAGAAAATGCATTTACACTTTCGTTCACCCAATCACTTGGTCACCTGCAATATATTAGGCTTTCCGCATTCAGTGTTGGCTGAGCCATTTGTTTCGGATTTTTTTTAGTGCTAACAGGTTTGGTAAAACATTAAACAAAAGACCCAGGATTGCATTGGGAATCTAGGATCGGTGAGTGTTGTTTTGAGGCCCAACATTACCCCACTAATATAAGTTCAGTACATTACTAGGCATAATGCACCAAGTCAGTGATCATATGTGCAGGGATGGTTGGGTCAGCTGCAGTGTGGTCCACATTCGGCTGCGGTCCGGACTAACTTGCAACATATACCGGTATATGATGGCGGCCAAACGGGCCACAAGTCAGAATGTCTGAACGTGAAGCCGAAAGGCCTAAGAGGCGACTTAACATCAGTGTTCTAAAAAGTATTGAACAGACGACTGTCGTGTAAAACGAAGACTTAAAAAGTAGTGGAATAACAATTTAGCATATTCTGATGTCTATCTTCACCATTAACTGTATCGGAACTCAAAATCACGGAAAATTCCATTGAAACGCAGATAAAGTGAGTGGACGAACTATTTGGAAACGCGAGTCGCCAACCGCTTGAGCATCAAAAAAGCAGTCGCGACATCAAAACGGTTGGCAATCACGGTTCCAGCTAAACAATTCCCAAAACATTTTCATCCAATAAAGTCAGTCTTGTATTAGATCAAAATGACGAATGGGATAATCTACAAGCTGCCCAAAAAAAGCCTTATAAGTATTAAGTGGTCATACTGGCAGTACAATAGAAAACCATTCTTATCAAGACTATTTTTTGAATATTACTGCACATCTAGAAGCATTCCGCTAATCTTCAGCTCAAACTGACAAAGATATGTGTTGCATTGGTCTTTTAACGAGCATCGGTGGGATCGTCCAGCAAGTCTCCAAATGGTTTAACGACAAAAAAACCACGAGGCACCGAAACTTTAGGGATCTGTTTTCATGTGGCATTTTGTTACAGTTCGAACACAAGTGTTTCAGGTCAGGCGAAGTGTGCTGAGCTTTGTCCAATAAATATGAAGAAAGCTAGCAGTTGAACTAGCGGACACCTCTACTCACAATAGTAGATCTGAGATGATGGGCAGTAGGCACGACATATGCAGTACTTCAAAAAGCACGAAATGGGTGAGCCGACAAACTAACGACATATTGAACAAGGGGGTGCTACGGAATTTAAGCGTGGGAACTTCAAACAATGACGCGATACTTGTTTGGCAGAAGTAGAAGAATCTCCGGTTTATAAAAATGCAGCCGGCTGAATGAATGGAGAGAACTGCTGCTGAAACTACGGTATTCTTCCAGGCGCATACCTTGAGGGAGCTCTGGAAGAGGTCTGATCATCCAGGCCTTGATGAGAGCAGTCAGTGAACGGAGGCACAGCACACCGTCCGGCCCTAAATTGATTGGAAGGCGGATTACCAGACCCATCAAATTCAGTTGCTGAACCTTTCTGCTAATGCAGTAAACGTTGATTAAGCATCCAGCAGTAACATCATTTCGGTGGCTAGCTGTTATGCCACCTGAAGAAAGCACGAGGGTTGGGATACTGCCAGTTTGCCCGAGCCTAGGTCGAACCACGGGCCTTCTGGTCAGTAGATTCGCTCTCTAACCACTGAGTCATCCTGAGGCAACTCGTCACAAAATGTGCGGAGTGCATCTCAAACATGCAAAAAAACGCTGACACAAAGGGATACAACAGGAATCGGAATTAACCTGATGAGTATCGGAGGGCCAGACTCATGGAACTTGGCAGGCACGATTTTTTCTGGCCAGTCAGTAAAAATAAACCGTCCAAATGCCAACTGCGTCAAGAAACTTGATTACTCATCATTCGTCCGAATAACAACTTCAACTGTCCAAGCCTCATCGAGGATCTGGTAATTACCATGAACCACGGATATGAAGTCTCTTATTTTTCCAGAATCACTCCGTTGACCACACTAAAACTTTAGGACAAGCATCACATAGAGAGACAGTTTTCCATGGTTGTGAATTTCGGAAACCGATTAGCCTTCCATTTACCAATAGGCTAAGAATATTCTCAACTTACCCTGACGAGCTTCAACTGCAAACGCATGCCACTCAGTCCAACAGCGTAAAAATTAGTTTGAACGAACTCTATTGGCTCTGCAGGGGGGATTGCGTGTAAATCGTGTGGTCTACCGACGGCCCGATATCTATCGATCTGAATTAAACTGGGTTCCGGGTGGATCATCCAGGCTGGTGAAGAGAAGTTCAAAGCATCATAAGTGCGCCACGCACTAAGCAGAACGTAGAAAGCCGGAGGATCTATGATACCCCCACGAACCAGACGTCCAGTCTTAATCTAAAACGCAAATGCAGCACGCTTTAAGACAAGTCATAAAAAGTTGTGAATGTGATTAAGGAAACTGTAATGAAGATGTTACCAAGGGACGACACTAAGCACTCATTAAAACATTGCAACCCCGGATTGATTACAGATTATGAGCAAAGCCCGATTCGTTATCATATTTCTTGGAAATGGTCAACGGAGTCTTCCCGGATCAAGAGTACATGGGAAAGTGGTTGAGGCAGTCAAACAAACATGGATATTCTTGAAGTCAACACTAGTTGGCATAGCTCGAACATCGATTGTAAACTAAAGTCGCCTTGGGACCGCTCCAAGGGATTTTCGTGACAATCGCTGAACAGAACTATTCTTGCTGACGTTCCGGTCACAAGTCATCACCCTTACAGTGGCAAACGAACATGCACACCACAACTACCGGTTAAAAAATTCTCATCATCAAAAGTTTTTGGATTAGCGCACATAAAGTAACACAACTATGTTGGGTATCGAGGCGATGGCAACGACTCTGACGGAAAGCGACGCATCATAATGGAAAAGTGAAGCCACCGTGTAATGCACTTCCCTGCTTATTTCCGGTAGCACTCGTCCAGTACCAGTTGCTTGTGTGGGTAATAATCCAAAGTGCCAAAGACAAACTAGGGAAGCGTTACTTCAAACTCCTCAATATTCAGCTTTCTATCTACGTTTAACGAGCTGCTAGTTCAATGATATTTCGACATCCACGCCTATTGGTTATCCGGCATGCTCTCGGTAGCTAGACTGCATAGCACAAGATTGCAGTCCTAATTTTGCGATTTTTGCAACAAATTATGAAGACAAACAACTGTTGAAATGATACTTAGAATTTGGAGGCTGTAGGCTACTCGACAAGTGGGATAAATTATTTAGGCCAATAACGGGGCGAGTGTCAGTGACGAACGCAAAAGTTCCTAGGAGTATTCTGGTAACTGTAGTCGGCGTGGACTATATTTGCAACGTTTGGAAAAACGGTTTACCATCTAGTTACGCATCGAATTCCACAGGGACAATAAACTTCAGGTGCAGTAACTTGATAGGCAGACAGCTCCGAGGAGCCAACAGATTAAACGAAACCAATAAACAACACTTACACGTCGGAGCTCTGGACCTCGGTCTGTCTGTATGATGAGCCGCAGTCCTAAAACACCCAGTTCCGTGGCATTACTACTCCAGTGTCCATTCTCCGAAATCACACCGCGTTCCCGATCGATGTCAAAAGCCGTTTGAACTTCTTCCAGCCATGTTCGCATCGCCTCTAGCCAGAAATAACGTCCAGCCATCATTACCCCAGAAAGCTGTGAGATTCGGTTGTACAGATGTAACAATTGGCGTTGTTGTATGGGGAAATCAATGCCGCGCCCGACCGTAGCTCGGCTAGTGCGAGCTCTGGGTTGGGTGTCGACAACAACTGAAGAAGGGATAACGGGTAATTTCGAGCCATCCTTATTGCGAGGCAGTGCTCCTCGGATTCCTAAGAGAGACGAAGGGGGCGGGCGGGAACCGGGAAGATCTGTTCCTCGGGCGAATACCTGGAAATTGTAGAGTCCGAAAGCAAGGTCCGAGTGTTTGACAAAGCCATACTCTACAGCATCCACAGGGGTCAAGCTCGATAAGTCCAATCCTAGTTCCAACCGATAGTTGCCCACGAATCCGGCAGTTACGAACAGACCGACCCCTGACAAACAAACAAGTAACGGAACTGCCCAGTGGCACGTAAGAAAGAGAGCAAAACGGCGAGCAAGACGAACAAGAAATGGGGCCCGAATGCGACCAAAAGTAGGATCTGGCGAGGCGAATGCACTGCAACGTGATTTCTGGAGGTCTCGACGGTGAGAATCACTTGAAACATTGGCCGACACTTCTTGTGCACGTTCAGGGGGTCGGTGAAGTGGCTATAAGGAACCCCAAAGAGAGGAAAATGTGATAAGTCAACGTTGGCCAGAAACGCAAAATTGCTGAGAATCGACTACACATACAAGTGTGAGGAAAGAGCACTAAGAATGATCCTGGCGAGTATGTTTGAAAGTATTGTGTATCAACAACGGTATTTCCAGGAAATCAGCCAAGGTTTAACACAACCAATAGGTTGGATACATTACGCTGTAGTTGGATTCCGGTATAATGGGCTGTACCGAAGGATGAGCTGTCAGGTTATGCGTCAAGTAACTCTCCAGTCGTATGAAACTTGCTAGGTTGATCGTAATATGAGACAATAGTGTGGCGAAATGTTACTTGAGGTAGTTGAGAAACCCAGTTCGCACGCTGTCGCGTCACGCTTGACTGAACGTGACCACCAAAGGGGCTAGTATCTTTTGAATTCCGCTATCAAGTAAAATAATACAATCTACTGAATTCGTACGTACTTTTCAAGGTCTATGGCGTACCTTACCTAACTCGTTTTCCGCTAGTTAAATGCATTTCACCTGCCGATCTTTTGGCTGCTGATTATAGCTGCTAGTGCTCCTTGACGAGCTTGCATAAAGAACCCTTTGTTTTCTAAGCAAGTTTACACTGTTCTCGCTTGAGGTCGTCCAAAAATGAAAGATTGATAAGTTCAGTCAAGTTCAGTTTATCAGCTATAAACCATACAATGACTCTGATCACCAAGAAAAGGATGTGTTGTGCTCCATCCGCTCCGAATGATATTGAGTACAAAAGGATCATCCTAAACACCGAAACACCACATGGAAGAAAATGAGTTGATGAACAGACATGATAGGAACTCGAAAGGCTCAGTAACACAAGGCTTCAAACCTTTATTGGGATTCATTAGCTGAGTAGAGAGCAATCACATTATCCTTTGGCTGGCAGTTACACACAAGTGAACTGGGATCACACGCCCAACGACCATATTTTCGCGATATGGGACTGTTAACCAGCGTGAACTCATTAATCCTTTGGGGCTTATCTGGTAATCCTCAATAGAGCTTCGCACTGTCCAGATTTTCCGGACCCGACCATACCTTTACTACTCTGTATTCCGTAAAATTCTAGGCTTATCAGCTATCAATCAGCCCTTCTTCCGTGAGAAATGATCATTTCTTGATACAGCAGCTGAGTTGACTAGTTAAAGGCAGTCAGAAAACGTGAATGAGTCCTGGACACCAAAGTCACATACTATAGAACGCTATACAGACCAGTACTGGCAGTGTTGCATTTCAGTGTGGTGGATTTGCATATCACAATGAATTGATGCACGAAATAAATGAGGGGAAAATATACACATTGAGACAGTCATAGCCGACAGCAATGAGTGAATGCAACGGGAATAGGTGGGAACGAAATTTTTAAAAGAAATTGCCCTTAGGGTAAAGGAACAGTACCAAGGTGTCTAAATTTTCGAACAATGATTGAATGAGCACACATGAACATAATTTCGGAGTAGGGCATCGTCAGTAGGCTTGACTCAGCGATACTTGCGAGCCATACCCAGTGACAGTATGTTTTCCACTGGCGACTATGTGCTGTGTTACTTAGCCGTTTCGACTACATGTAGTTAGGATCACAGTGACACCAGTCACGCAAACTCTTAGATCTAACAGTACCCAGTTTGACTGTGGCCGCTGCAACTTCAGGCTGCCGTATATCTCACCCAAACTTTTTGCCGGCAAAGAGAGGAACAGCGATTTCTTTGGAAGGTGGTGGCTGGACATACGAGGTAGCTGTGTAAACTACCTCAACCTGCTAAGCGTCATTTAGTACTCCAATGAACAAGAGTCGTCAAAAGTAATCAGCCATTCACCACTCCATTGAAGCTGCAGTCAGTCAACTGCTGCTACGCTAAGAAAGCATCAATGATCTTGAAGAACTTCAAGTTCAGTTTGGAGGTGTCACGTTTCCCAACCACAAAGTTAGGACTTTTTACGTTTGTCTTCAAAAAGCAGCTATCTTGGAAGACGTTTCAAACACCACCTGCTTGGTGCCATCAACCCAGATCATAGAAGACACCCATAAGTAGTTTCTGTCGAAAAGCAGCCTAAAAACCAAACCCGCAGAATGTACCGAGGGTGCAAGATTCCAGATTAACAGCTGCGTTGAAAATTACCAGACAGGACACGCAGAAATAGCATTCTTTTATCAAGCAAACAGAGACGGTAACTAACGGATCCAGCCGATTAGATCAATTCGCTGATGTCCGGATAAATTTACACCAACCTAAATCACCGAACAGCAAGAGTACAGTACAAGCATTTCTGCGTCCAACCAGCCAGAGGACGCAGTTGCCTAAGTATCTTGGTGCAAAATGTTGGGGAAGACCGATTACCTCACTCAAAACCGATTGGTCCTGATTCACGGTCATTGGGCGACTGGTTACATCAGCATGGGGTGGTGTCTCGTGGTCGGAATTAGTGACTGTGACAGTCGTATGGACTGTATGAAGTGGACCGACCGGGGAATTTCCGACAGGATTACTGCATGATGTGCAAGAGGCGTTGGAGCTGCCCACATGGTTGACCACATTGACTTGGATCGATGAACATAAACGGTGAGTAGCTGAGCCTTTAGTACGACTCCGGGACCGCTTAACCGCCGAGCAACCCATACAGGCAGCGGTAGTGGTGGTAGATGTTAGCAAAGTTGGTTTGCGCTCATGCGATCGAGAAATGTAATCAGGCTGTTTGAACGTAGGATAGTCACATCGATGGGTTGAAGCGGTACGTTCCGCTGACATTTCACACAGGCGCTGGTGTGAATCGGGTGATGTGTTCGCTTTTGGTTGTTGCAGACAGCAAAGAACATCCACTCGCCGCTGTGAACGTCGAATACCATCCAGTTTGAGAAGGCAGGGGAATACTAGGAAAACGCTGGCAGACTGAATTAAGACAAGCGTTCCGGCCTGGAATGTACACCAAAAGTAAAAATGGAACGTGTTTCAACATGACTTGGTAAACAATCGGTAGTTTTTAATATTTGAGGATGGCCATCATGGTACAAAATTTATGTAAGTGACGGTGTACTTGGCACTTTGAATCACCCGCCTTCCATTGCAAGGTAAGCTGACCGGAGAAATGTCATCCATCAGAACTTACGGGTTGTGGTGGTGTATTTTGATGCTACAATGAGGCGGAGTACATTGAGGGAAGCATGTAGCTTTACGATAATCACAGGAAGTAACCACCGATGATGGTCGTGTAAGATCAGTGTAATCCACTGTTGCACTGAAAATACATCCGCATTTCGGTAAATGGGATGTACTAATGCCCTTGATGTACTTGACGTGAACACCATGCTTCTAACGCAAGTGGAGTAAATAGGTCTGACTCCCAAGAAATCACATATAGAAAGCCATTAAAGTGCTGAGTTAGTTATGCTAAGGAGCACTCCCATGTGACGCTAAATGGTCGATAAAAATACGATCAGGATGAGAATAAGTAACTCTCACAATATTGCCACAAATCTAGTGAAGTATCTGCCTTGGAGCAATTGAGGACATCCGACGGGTCATGCTCAATCAGCAATCCGGACCAGTTGAAACATCAGCATTAGTCGAAACTGATCGCAACAACTGACCGCTTATATTGTTTTTAGTACCGAAATATCTGAGTTTGCACATCTAGTTGTTCATATCGTTGTCCTTTCCTGGGACCTAGAGTAACGCGTACCTACGATCTTACACTGGACTACTGAATAGCGCCAGTCGAGACAAATCATCAAACTGACCTAGTTCAGTGACAGCTGTAAATACTACTCGACCACCTCACTGTTCCAGAACAGACTGCCTTAATCCGACTGCACCCAAGTGGATATATGAAGACCGAGTGGATCATCTTCCACTACAGTAAAATTGGTAGGAAAATAAAAGGGTTTGAACCAGTGGGCTGAAATTTTCGCTCAATTACGTAACGCTTTTAGAACCTTTCAAATTTGGTTCCCATTCAAAACATCAAGAAAACTCATTGAAATGAGTCGGATACAATCCCCGCACCTGTGTAATAATGAGCACCACTACCCACCCAGACGTATCTTATCAATCAGGTGACATTGGCACCCCGAGATTCATTTGCTCCTGGGGGACGACTAAGACGACAGAAAAGGCATTCGTGTGCGAACAGATGCATGAACGCGCACATCCTACGCCGTCTGCAAAATACTAGGGACTGAATAGGCGATGCGGTGGGCCGAGCTAGCTAGCTTGAAAAGACCAATTGGGTGGAAGTTACCGAAGACCTACAGGTTCGATAGGGCTGTCAAGCCCGGTGGTCGTGTTATGATGCCGAGCGCGCCGGATAAGTGCCTGTGACTAGGGTTTTGGTGAAAGTGGACGGCTAGATGTATATACACAGACACCTGGCCACACACCGACATTTAACAACCTAACTTTCTACGTACCTAGGTGGTCCCCGTACAATGTGGATTGTGAACTGCATTGGACTTACAACACACCCGAAGTGACCACCTTGGTTTTTCCAACTATCACGCTGACTGGCTGTTGCCGGCAGGACCAAAATAACAACATTGCCAGGTGGGTGGTCAACACGACCGCTCGAATAGTAAACAAGCGAATCAAAAGTTTGCTGTCTTGCCTCCACCCTACCTTTCAACTCCACATGGGGCGGCTGCGGCAGTGGCGGCCCATAAACACCAACACAACGAAGAGCTCCGGACGTATCAGAAGGAGACGTGGGAGGTCCCTACAGTTGTTAGTTTGTTGGTCCATTGTAAAGCACGACCACGATTTTTTGTTAACGGAAAAATGCTTACCTGCAAACAGAACTGCCTCATCAGTGGAATGGGAATGTAAGCCGCTGAGAAGAAAGCCCCGGACATGGCTATGGTTCCGAAAAGTAGACTTGGACCATGTTCTGCAAGAACTAGCGCTGATTGTAACAACAGGCTGGTGGATGAAGTGGAACACGTTGATGAAGATGAGCAAGTAGATATGGATGTTGTCGAAGCCCATGGAGTCTGGAAGCAATGGAGGAAGATATATCGATATGAGCCTTGTTACATCAGTCAGATTCTAGACAGCGCTACTCTTCCACCCGGCGTGTACTGATTGATACTCTCCTTGTGGTTGGTTCCATGTCACATTCTAGGCAACCACAAATGGGATATCCCTTGATGAAATTTCATTACTCGCTTTGGACATTTCGTCAACATGAAATGAAATGCCGTTCGACGTGGTTCCGCCTGTGACCGACCAAGTTTACGGTCTGCAAACCCATCAACTACGGGTCGCAGATCACAGGAAGGGACCGACAAGAATCGGCCGCTCATGTGGACTGGTTTTTTCTAGGGTAACTTTGTCTATAGAATTTACTTCGAGGATCAAACTGAAGGTAGCCTGTTTTTAAAACTAACCTCTGCAGACAGACCAAACCGTACTTCTGATGAAATTATTACCTTGGTTAACTAATTCCATTGCACCATTCGCATCAACATAAGTAAAGTTCAGCATTACTTATCCACCTCCACCTTCGTAGAAGTTACGGGGTCTTGATTTTCTTTTCGCTTTCTTCGAGCCTACCAACGTATTTTGTCCGTAAAAAGGCAAAAGACCATATAACGTAAAATACATAACCCGATTAAACTGTGCACATGTTACAATTAGAAACATTCAGATATTCCTGGCGAGGTACTGCTCGTATCGCTAAGATCAGCCACACGTTAATCGAAGGTGCCATAAATTCGAACCCGAGTGGACAAACCAAACTGTTCTCCATTATCAACTTCACGAAAGCCATTTACATGCATCATGAGAGATAAATTCCAGAATACTAGACATCAAATTGACAGACAAGCCCGCAGATAAGGCTAGTATGGATGTAGTGGTGAATGAAAAACCCATGGGTCCTAAAAAGAGCGTCAAACAGTTCAGCAGAGAAAGGGACTCAGTGTTCGCCTACCACAATCATTCCGAGGCGCCTACACCTCCAGATACCCATTCAAGCAATCTGGATAGGAACGGATAATAACGCTACTGACAACGACTGGCAGTCATATTTTGCAGCGTCACAACCCGTGTCCAATGGGGATCACGAGATTCCCATCCTGGGAGGCGAGCCACATCGACAACACCCCGACTTCTCATAATCTCTTTCATGCCCCTTTGCCAGGTCAAGGCCACCTCTCTGCTTCTGCCAAGCGTCGAGTCACACAACCAATGTAGCTTGTGGAACGAAAAAGTACACAACCATCGATGAGTCAAAGACTACCAAATTTTCATTTAAGTTGGTGTTGACCTAACCATACACACCATACCACAAGAGCTTTAGCCTAGATTCCTCAAAGAAATTTTTATTTCACATAGAATGATTGTGCTGCAGAGTCCCCCCATACTGTTGGCACAACACCAACGCAACGGCTTCACTAAACAACGATAGAATATTACGAACATGTGATTTGATCGTTTCTTAGCTTAAAATTGTACGCCTTTACATTCTACTCCACACTTTTTTACCCTTTAGTTGTAGCAAACAGTTCAGAACTTTCCGGAAACATCTATTCGCTAAAACATGCGTAGTAATGTACAATAGACGATCACCGCTATAAAAGCTGACCCAAAATTCAAGCGTAAGTGTTTTGGAAATTCAAATACTTATAAACGGTACGTACCAGTTGGGAATCGCACTTTGCGGATGCTGCGGTTCGACGAGTGATACAGCATTGATAACAGGTGGTCAACATGAAAATCCCGTCCAAGCCGAGGCCCATCAACATGAACGGAAGAACCTACAGTGCACGTTGTCAGTTAATTAAAACAGGCGTTAGCGGTATGAAGAGGCATTTCACTTACTTTACATCACATGAGAAGTAATGAACTGAAAAGCCACCGCACTAGCTCTAACGGACGCCTTGTGAAACCAGGAATCTGACCTCCCCTGTAACTAACTAGCTTGTTAAAAGAGATAAGTGCATGAGATGTCAGCTTCATAACAGAAGGTTTACAAACACTCGAAAAACACTATTCAATTAATACAGTACTACGGATGGAAACCATATTTAACACAACAACCACATGCTAGGCAATCTCGAATGCGGACATGGAAAAACATCCATCGTTTATTGATCACAATGCTAAGGCACGTTATCAGATGACGCAGTATCTCAAAAGCGTTTGACTGGCCCGGTTGTCTTCCAGGCTGCATCTAAACCAAGTCTTCCGATGGATCACGAACAGAGTGGTGTGCCATTGGTTTCGTTAACCTGGAGATTAGTTAGCCACATGCTTGACTTAGGGAGTGTTTCTATCATCCGACTAATAGACTATGGCACAGGGAAGTGCCTAGCGTTGAACGATGAAATTAAAGGAATCGAACTATGAGAAGCAACAAGAGTCTGACATGTGTATTCCCAAGAGTAGGGTGCCAAGTATGGAGAATGTTGGGAGATGAAGACAAGTCAAGAAAATGAAGATTCGCATCAAAGCATCAGCAAATAAAAGTTCACTGAAAATCAGGAGGAGCACGGATGCTGGGCGTACATATGGAGGGACGCGGATTATTAAGTAAATTGTAAATCTTAGACAACTGGGACTATTCCCGATGTTTGGTTGGAAAAACAAGATATTCTTACCAGTTCAGTGCTAATAGTCGCCATGTGCAACCCAACACAGCTTGTGAAACGATCATGACAAACTTCGCTACAAGAATGCCTGGGGTACGTAAGTTTTTAGTGTAGCGTACTGTATGTATCGAAATCAGGCGGAGAGTAGTCAGATCTACAGAGGTTTGTGGGAATGCTAGATTAATACCCGAGAGACTATTCGAAATATATGTAAGCGCATGTTATTATTTCGATTGAGGAATCAGTAGATGGTAGCTCTCCGATTCAAGGCAAGAAGACGAAGATTTTTATGATGGCGCACGAGTTCTGAATCAAAATATACAGTGGAATCAATGGAACCAGCATGTGCTAGCACCGAATTTACATGAAAATTTGAATGACGTATGAGCTGCCCTACAGATGAAATGGTGGATCTACATTTGGAGAATGGCGATAAAAGTTTCACTGACCGATCTCCAGATATGAATATGGGCTGTTGGAATGCCGGTCAAAATTCAACTTTCCACTGCAATTAGGGTCATTCTTCGTTACTTATGACAAGAACTTAGTGGATAACGATTGATAGCATACTGCGACTAGAAGTTATGAGTATAGCTAGCATTTCTTGACTGAAAACGGAAAAATAGTAAGAAACATTTGTGAAGGTAGCAGAATTTGACTACCAGTCCGAGTCTAGGGTTGCCAATACCACAACAAAACTAGGGGAAAGTGATTTCCAAACAGCCTCACGCTGTCTCACCACATTCAACACTTGCAAGTTGCTTCACATGATGAACACATCCCATTATAATATTCTGCTTCACACTATTTATTGCAATGGGGAATTTCGTGAAGAACTTCAATCATTTGTGGGACAGCGTGATAACGAAATCTGGATAACCCTTACAGGGGCTCTGCGGATAACAACCTTCACACAAACTTCAACAAACTTCACACGACTGGTCTGGTCAAGAAAATTAATTTTGAAGACTTCTGTGACCAGACTTCTGAGAGTACTTGCATAATCAACGAAACTACCTACAATTCTACCTATTAAACTGTGTGTGTTTGTGTGTACCTAGATGATGGCATATATTCAACGCATATATGATGCATGAACCTTATAACTTCGAGCTGCATAAAGTTATCGAAACTCGACTGGGACCGAACTAAGGTTAATGTTGATTTTCCGTTCATTTTCTAAAGTGAAGCGTTTTGACTGGTCGCTAGGATGGAGTATCATGTTTTCGAAACGAAATAAACAGGTGACAGAACCACAATCAATCAATCATTCAATCAAATCTCAGTTTGATTAGATTAACAAATATGGAATGGTTGTCAACAATACCTGAATAGTGAGAACGTTGAACGGAAGCCCGAGAGCTGCGCAAATTCCGAGACCAGCTAAGCAGGCAACGGCCGTCAGCACCAGACCAGATAAAGCGAACCAACACTGAGATCGCACGGGATCACGCCAGTCTAACAGACAGACGAGACCATACAAGAGCTGAGGGTACCAGAGGACGGAAAAGAACATTTAGATAGCATAAGTGAAAGCTAAATGCGAAAATCTGGGTTACAAGCGGAAGGATAACTACAGCATCCATTCTCAACCTGCTCTCCATAGGTCGATGGAGTTACGAATTGAGCAGACTTGCTTTCCTCGATTGCAAACTTAGAGGTACACAGGCAGTCCATAGCTGGACGGCAATACATGGTAAATCACGTTTCACTGATTACTTTATGGCGACTGATATATCCGATAGGACTAGTCACTACTTTGTTATCATTATCCCATCACCATAAGCTAGGATTTCAGTCTAGGCGGCGGCGCAGTAAAATAGCAGTCATGTGACTAGCGCTGCACCCATACTGGAGGTGAAGCGCAGACATCAAAAGGTCAGTTTATACCATCTAATCTGAACCACTTTCACTATTTTTTTCCGTGATGAACATGACACGTTACCAAGGTTCTTCAATCCATTTAATCAAAACACTACATAAGATGGAATGCCCTTAAGCATACACTCTGTTGGAACTGTTGCGTAGTTGGTACTTAACCTTGGAAACCAAGAGCAAAAACGTGTGAGCATGGATGAATATGCTGTCGATAGTGAACCGCAGAACTGACGAATTCGAATTCGGGTGAAGTTGGAAAGCAGAAGTTGCACGAAGTTATATCCCGTCATTACCGGCGAACGTATGTCTGGAACCTGCCCAGGGTCATCAGATAAGGTAAACGCAGTGTTTTCAGCCGTAAGGGGCAGGTTGACCCAAGTGAGATTCCAACTGATCGGGCCATCAAGTCGTAGCGGGGGTGAGCAAATGTTGAAGTTCGCAAACTTTGAGCGCTCGCTTTTTGTTCGATTCGGATCGATCGGCAGGTGACTAAGCTCTCATGGGTCTAAAGTGAATCCGAAAAGGGTGACATCACTGACGCTGAGACTCCACGGAGGATGTCACTTGAGTGTCGGATAGGTTACTGTGACTATCCATTGGCGGTGACTTCACGTCTTGGGAAATAGCTGTTTGGTGAACTGCAACCATACAGAAGGGGAGTACACTGCGGGTCCAACGCACAAAGTGAACAGGTATCCGTGAAGGACAACGATTACTGAGATAAGCACATTAGGCATCAGTTTTTACTATGTGATGCATCAATAAATTCGATCGTATCACCATCTCAAACGGAAGCGAAATACGACGGTGGTTGGAGACGGAAAAATGGGCCGGTTAGGTTATTGACGCTAATGGAACAGAGCCATGATGTCAAGTGCGTAGTAACACTGAATGGGTCTCAGAAGGTAAGGCAGAACGTCACTGCTCATTCCGACGCTTATGCACTAGCATTAGCCAGGTTGATGTAGTACAAGCTGTCGACTTTAACAAGTAGCGGCAGACGCAGTCCCGAGTTTCCGTCAACCTTGTTCTACTTGAACCCAAATTGGACTGTTTTCGAGAAATACACTCATTTGAAAATCAATTTGGTTCTCACAAGAGACTTAACTGAAAACCAAATTGATTTGCAAATGAGTGTATTTCTCGAAAACAGTCCAATTTGGGTTCAAGTAGAACATAAGGTTGACGGAAACTCGGGGACTGCGCCTATCTGATGAGCCTCAAGAAGGGCGAAACCGGTCGCGGGCTGTCGAAGAGTTTTCAGCGACCTTGTGAGTAGTTTCCTTTATGAAAATATACTACGATATCTCGAATATCGTGTCAACTGAAACATGAGGCTGTCTGTGTGCAGCACATTCAGGTGTAGAATATCATAGAGGAGATTTTCAGTTGAGTCTCTCATGAAGACCAGAAAAGTAGCTGTTCCATTTTTACGAGACACCTATTCCGTATAGCTAGCAAACCGAACAGGACTGGATGTTCCGCTTATCAAGATTGTCCAACACAAAAGGGGGCAATGCTAAAGGAAGTCAAAGGGTTATTTATGACCTGTTAACCATCGTTTGTTCCTAACTGTCATCGAGTGGCTGCTTTCACGCAGCGGGGTCGTCGCCCCAGCAGATTACTTTGGCTAGTAACTCAATTCGGGAGTGAGCAGGACGTCCATGCACTCTGTGGTGCACGAATAACCCGCCTGTATATGCAGGCGCTTCGAAAGCCACACGATTCAAAAGTGATATCGACTGTGTTGTCGGAGGTCTCAAGAGTCAAACAGGAAGGTGATGAATGGCCTCGATACATACTTATCTGAACAAGAATGTACTGCTGTCGTTTCAACACTTCAGCAACGTAAAGCTTGGCACAGCTGGACGAACCGATCAACAGCCACCACTATATGGAATGGGATCCGGGAAAACCTAAAATGATGCACTGAACGGATGCAACGATGCTTGTGTGTACGAAATCCACAAAGGAGATTGAAAATAAAGTGCTTACCACGAGTAAGACGCATCCAATAACCTTGATGGGTCCTAAACGAAGAGTGAGTTCGCGCAACAAATCACGCAGAGAGTTGTCGGTGAAGGCGTAGTACTGCCACTCGGTATTCGGTTGTAGTCCTAAGTTGTGTTCCAAGACGAGCTTGATTCGAGTAGAAAGAGATGAGATTAGGCTGATCAAAATGGCCAAACTGAACAGGCGATAAATAATCGAAAGGCACTAACCATGGTAAAACTCAAAAGGAAAGTGAAAAATAACCACATCCAGAACGCAACCAGCGTGTGTTTTGCTTGTGCATGTATGCAAAAACAAACCGGCTAGTCACAAACAGCTATCACCGAAGTCAGGAATAAATAACCTTAAACGCACGCGTCATGTCAATGATGCGGGTTATCCGGGGCTTTCGCGGAACATGAGAACAAGGCAAATATCCATAAATTCTCTTTGTCGTTGGTGTGTGCCAGTCGAGTCAGCACAGCTGCTACAACCGCTACTTGGCACGCACAACACGCCCTACCACGAACAGGAGATTGCGCTAAGCAACATCAGCATGTCGAACATAGGTTGCCGAATCTTCCGGATTCTAACATGGTTTAAAAAGGCCGGGAAACTGAAAAGTTCTCTTATTTACATTAATGAGAACTGTGAGCATTAGATAAGGATACCAATGGGAGGCAAATATACGTGAGAAAAATGCATGCACATATAGATGGAGAGAACAACACACGAGGTGGTAGTTAAGTAAGCGGAATACAGTAAAGTTGTAATATGTTACAGAATTAATCTGAATGACACGCACATGGTTTGCGCACCGAAGTAGTGGCGTGTTTCTTGTTTCAGTACTCAGGCAGATGCTTGTTGATTCTCATCCCGAACTGAGAGAAGTGGAGCTTCCGATTTCAAGTGATTCAAGGATAAGCATCTAACGAAGCTACATCGGCATCCACAAGAAGCCGAGTTTCACATTACATCCCATTATTATTATGTTGATTAGCCTTGGTCATCACTGACAACAAGACCAATGCCATGCTGACAACCAAGGGTGAAAAAAATAGGAAATCATTCATCCGCACATGATATATGGTTTTGTTCCAGAGATCACCAAGATTATCTGCCATCTTGGTTAAATGTTTTATTATTATCAGGTTCCAGACAGAGGTCAAATGAGTTCGATCCAAAACAACGCTTCAATAGGTTTCCAAAAAACACTACTTCCATAGAGATCATGCTGGTCTCAGAAACACGTGGACAGCTCAAGTTGCGGGGCTTGTTGATGCAGTTCCAGTCGGTTGGGGACTATCTAATGTCGCTGAGTCGAAACAACTCAATCCATTTGAAACTGGACGTATCTGAAGTAATGAGGATAGAATAAGGTGGTGAAAATCAACAATGACGGGCTTCTGACACTATGAATTACTTACTCTGCGAAGGGAACGGCGCCATTCATCCAAAACATGTTGTGCGTCCGCCAATGTCCAGCCTTCGTATTTGTAAGGGTCATTAAGCCTGACTGCTTCGTACAGGTCACGTGGCGACCGCAAGAGAATAAGGGATTGAAGTGCACTTGCACTAACAAGAAACTTGTCCGATGTGAGGTTTGATGCCAGGTGCCCAGAATCGGTATTAGTGGAGTTTCTAAACCAATGAACACGACCACCAATAATGATTTCCTCTGGCCAATGCAGGATATTGCCAGCAAAACCTGGACATCCACCAGTCAGCACTCGGGGCACGTTTGGAGCCTGGGAGAGAAGTAAAAGTTGTAGGTTTAGTCCAAATAGGCAGTGTATACGACAAAATATAAGGGCACCTTCATCAAAACAATTACGAACAGGGGGCTGAAGACCAGAATTCTAAACTGTTGGACAAATACGATGACCGGTGCAAAGTCCCGCCGAATGATTGCGGTTTCAAGTACTCTCCTACATGTCGAGTACAGTAACGCCGTCTACTAGTTAGGCGGACATCCAAACAAAAAAACAAGCAGTCAAGTAATGGGAACGTGGTAAATCGGAAAGGTGACGAAAGCACAAAAATTTACTACTTATTGCATAAATCCTGTGAAAGTCACTTCACAGTGAAACAGTCTTACCGAGTCAACCTAGGCCAACCCCATGCAATCCAAAAAAGAATTCCCTGTGTGCTTCAGAGTTCAAGTGCGCACACTATTTTTTCATATTAACACATCGCACCAACTTTTATGAGGGCGAGATTCCTGAGAATCCTTAAGTATCTCGATCGAAATCCAAATATGATCTGAGAGGTGTGCAGCGCCTCTGGTAGCATGCGAGAGAATGAATGCTATTCAGGACAACTCAACTTCGCCTAAGACCACCTTTAAATCTGTGACAATGCATCATTTCAAGCCACTTTCCTTTCAAACCACCTTTCCGGTATAAAAAGCATACGGTAATTCCTCTGCAGTACCTCAAAAATACCAAACAAACTCGGTCTGACTGATAAAGGAATTAGTAATACTGAAGGACAGACGGCTCAACACATGTGAATTCCTAGCATAGCAAAACAGTATTTACAAAGGAGCGTCAACAGATGGAAGCACCACTGCATTATTTGGATCTCCTCCAAACGCGTCTGATGTTTTGGATGTCATTACAAACCAGGGGCATTTGCCTCTGATTCACACCAGCTGTTAATGGAAACAAGACCGACATACTTCGGTTGGCTCTGCGGTGAAAACTGTGGAGGCACATCAGCTTTAGTCAAAAGAGCTGAGTAAACGGTTTCTACAATGGTCTACCGGCCCTGAACACAACACCACAAGTGGCCTGATTGAGCGAAATAGTTGACTGAGTGAACAGACACAGGGTGAAAGACTGTGAATGAAGGATGGGTACTCAACATCCGAACCGCCTGAGCAAACGCACTAGGTTGGTAATTCCATGGGCACATTCAAACACTTAATTTTCAGTAAAATGCCATATAGATATACTGAACTAGTTACAGAGGGTCGCGGAAGATTGAAGTCTCAGTTTTGAAACTGACCGACGGGTGTAATGTATTAGAGATGTCGTGCTAGATGCTACATCATTCCCATGTAAATGCTCATAACTCAGTGAAAAAAATACTACTCATAAAGCAAAGCGTTCGCGTAACAAACTTTGAGGGATATCTGACAGAGCCATACCCTGGAAACATAACAGTCGAACTCGGTGATGAGAATTCAATCCGTTTGTCCACATTAGATTGTAATTAAATGTACCCACTGTGTACGCCACTATTATAGGGGGACAGCGAGTGCCAATCACGTGGAAAAGCAAATAAACCTAGGAGAAAATGTTACAGCCGCTGTGATGCACGTTTTGTTACTGTGAAATCCTGCGAAACGTGCGAGTCATGTAAGAAAGAGGAATCAAGTGAACACGGCAAGTCTCAAAAATAAATAATACGTAGCTTGCAAGCAAGACAACATGCCGAGAGGACTCCATCGTATCTTTGGTAATCGAAAGTGGACGAAGCCGCGATCGCGATTACATATTGCACATTGTGGCAAGACGGGATGGGGTAGATCAGAGTTATTACGAGGTGCGACAGACGTGTGTGCACGTGCGCGCCTATATGTCAAAGCGACACAATGCCATTTTTGAGACACGGTGACCCAGTCAAACGACACATGCAGACACAAGAGAAGCCCAGGTCTCGGTGTGAGACAATCTAAACAGACGTCAATTTGATACCAACTAACATACACTAGTTGCTCTATCGCATCACGTTTTCGACGACGTCTGCCCTGTCTGTGTATATGTGGATGGATTCTGCAAATGAAGAAGGGATTCCGGGATTGTCCGTCTGGCTGTGCGTTTGTTTCGGGGAAATAGAGTGTTCTGACAGCTGTTTCCAACGTATGTGAGCGCATTTAGTGAACCGAGCGAACAATGGCTCGTGACATTCGTGACGATTGCACGGACAAGGTCGTAGCACAAAAAAAGAATAAACAAAAAGTCCAGAACCTGGAGCAGTAACGTTTGTTCTGTTGCCCTATCGCGATTAACAGTCCGCTGGGGATGATGATCACTGTAAAGAACGGCAGTATGTTTACGTCGTACTAGTAAGCCTACTGAACCGGCGAGCAAACGACGGACTGTTCGGTCAGGAGGGAAAAATTCGAAGCCTCCGATGAGCATGTGTATAAAAATGATGCCTCAAAGTGAGTGGGTGGGGATGAGAAATTCACCTCCCCATAACCGACTAACCTGGCCTCGATAGTTGGGCGCAGAAACGGGGCAAGCTGGGTCACTTGGATCCAGACAAGTCTTATTCAAGTAACCGTGGTTGATGCCGGCTGAACGGAATAAGTTTATCAGATTTCCAAGTTCTGTGCCCGAATAATTCTGATACCGATCCCGAAGATTTTCCAGCAATCCAATTGGGTCGATGTGCGTCCACTGGAATAGCGTTTGTTCCCCGAGCTTATGAGGCCTGAATCAGCATGAAAAATGATGATTAGGAAACCAATTTTCGTTATAAACACTTACCAGATATGTGGGAAGAACTTAACCGTTACCGATTAGACACAAAGTGGTGTAGGTGAAGCTCAGTGAACACGTGCACTGGACGAGCTGTCCAGGATGTTCGTCGATGCAATTGTACATCCATTCTATTAAATCAGATCAGTTCTTATATATCTGTTGATGTCCATTCACCACCGAAATACTTGTGCACCTATTTTCACCGTATGCCGACGCAAAATCGATAAATAACGAGTTTACAGTTGCTGGTCAGTAGTCACCACAACTGTGCCGGGTAACGAAAGATCCTGTTGGTACCGCGTTCAGATGATAATCTTTTTAGCTTGGTACAGTTTCAAGTTTTTTAGGAGTCGTCGTTTCAGGAAGCATTCCACAAGGTTTAATTGGAAACCGTTTCTGTTTAATTGTTACGTCAATACACGCAAAGGTAAGAAAAAAGTCAGACCTTCACAACACCTGCAGAGCATTGTGCACCAAAGATGAGTGGCTGAAAAGTAAACCAGGCAGCAAAAGCGCAAAGACGGTCGCACTCAACAGGATATACCATTACAATCCGCAAATGCATTGCGATCATCCGCTTCAGTGCGCGATTCCAACCAGTCAACAAAACAGTCCATATGGTGAAATTACATTAACCACTACTACTGCTGCTCTTGGTTTGTCCAAACTTTGGGTTGAATAGGCAAACACATGCGCCAGACGACTGTGGTAGGGGATGAACACTGATACATGTACACACATAACAAGAACACGGCCACATGGATGCATTCTTCTCGATCGGCCCAGATGTGCGCTGCGGCAGCTTACGTTTTATTCGGCTGAGCGACCGACAAAACAGACATGCGCCTGCGCGAAGGTGTTAGTATGTTGGAGGTAAAAAACCTCCAGGTGTACAGATGCGCATGGAGGCACGCGGCAATATGCGATTTGAATGAAGTTCGGGAATGGAAATCCGGTAGAAACAAGAAAAAAGCTTAAACGGGGTCCGGCAACAACCAACCTTGTGGTTGGGCCACACATCGACATAAGCGAAGCATTATCATGTGGCCCACCAACGAAAGACATTGACATTTAGACAGTCTGCCAGCCCACACTTCATGAGGGAATTTGGTAGCAGGGTTGTGACTACTACATGTTTCGTACAGTACCATCAGACGGTTACGTGACTTGTGCGGTGGTCCTTTATTTCAAGACATGTGCTACGATGGTCCCGAAAGAATAACCGCGTCGCTGAAATCTCACCACACACCATTCAGCGAACAGAATCGAATCAGAAGAAGTGGAAACTTCCTCACTGATGCATGGAGAAACAGCCGCCAACTTAATGCGATGAGTAAATTGGTGTTTTGTGAGAATAGTGCAACCACCTATATAAAGCATAACGAGTAAAGACTGAAAACGAGTACTGGCAGCAGCCTGTCTGATGCCTAAATAAGGAGATTGTTTTCACTCGCAATAATATTGATGTTCTTTTTCCCAGATTCACTATAAAAACGTTCGAAGTATGTACCCGGCACGTTATTAGACACAGCTGTCAGGCGAGCACCATGCCCTTTCCCTCAATAATCTTACGGCTCTTTTCGTTTCACGGTTTTCTAAAATAATGACCGAAATTACGGCTGTATTTTATTGTTGATGTTGATAACTGTGACTCAACTCCCACGCTTCATTTCGAAAGAATGCAAAAGGACGCCAGTATCGCCACTGTATCACGAGTATTTGGTCTGGAGCGTAGTAATTACAGCCGTCGTGCTCCACGGAAGTCCCCATGGATGATAACTAAGAGACAACCACCCGGCCTATGGTGGGCGTCACTGAAAATGAAATCGCATGTTCTCACACCGAGAGGGTTTGATAAGCCTGATATCCATAACCAGTTTGAACTACATCGCGTTAAAAATGCGAAGTTTCCCAATATTAACTCCCTAATCGAACATCTTCAGCACCACAAGGTGTCATACAAACACAAGCAAAGCAAAATGGCAGCAAGGCTGTCATAGTCCAAATAGGGGCGGCTAGCGCGACAATCCTACCTGCCATGTAAGGGACGATGCCAATGCAAGTGTACACACGTACACATGCACACTGGCAGACAATGTCCACAGCTGTTTGTCAGGCGTTGGTTTCGAGCTAAAAAAGCAGAAAAGACCTACCACGATGACAATATAGTTTCCAAGCGTACGTGCGGACCTAGAAAGCAAGTTTTCGCTTCTCCCATTCTAGCATTGTACATGAAATTTGTTCAACAACCACACAACCCGATAGTTTGTGCAAAATATGGCTCACATGACTGTCATACATAACACATAGGAATCCGGGATACACGGCCAGACCGGATGTACCCACATGCGCACACAAACAACAGAGCATGTGAACGACTTAATCAACTGGGCTCACACACGGACAACTGTGGTTTCTAACACATATGTCCCCAAGATCGTTTAGATGGTTGTACGGCAGTGAAGCATCAGCGTAAGCACTTGGGTTTTACTCTTTCAATAGTATCGCTCTCTAGGATAATGGTGATGAAGAACCTAGACGTACTGTGCGCTTTCTCAACTGTCGATTCGAATAAGGCCAAGTGCCGTCAAATTCCTTGCAGTACTGTTCATAAACCCACCAAGAAAGACCGCTAGAAAGAACACCAGCAATAAATCGATCTGCATTTTCCTGAGTGTAGCAACTGAGCTATATCACACCTCCAAAAGAAATCGCTTCGGTCATATTGATGGGTCGATCAGAACTGATTTCCCAGCTGCCATGTCCAGAATTAATACTTATTCGAAACCACCAGTTGGACCGATTACCGGGAAGAGTGGCACAATGTAAAGCATGACTTGTATTCAGGAAGTACCTAGTGGTACTAGGTACTTCTCTAGAAACAAGCTGGCGCTGGATCCACGACATATCAGGTCACCCATAAGAACTTGGTCTCGCCAAAGCGAGGATGCTCTATCAATTCCGTGGCAGAGCCATTTGGAGAAAAATTAACCAGGTTTCCGGGGTTGAAGCGTCATTTCGATTCAGGTAGGCCATGAAAAACTGGTCAGCTGATCAGATAAACTTAGCGACATAAAACCTGGTAAAGCTAGGGTAGTTAACCACATTGGGTAAATTCAAACTCAGAAAATTCTAGGGATACATATATACAATTCAGAAACTGGCAATCTTATCAAGCTCACCAAGGAACCCATCTGCCTTCCTCAGGCCCAAGGACCTTGGCGCCTTCCCAGAAGCAATCCAGTGGTGTGATGACCGAGCACGGGATTATCATATCCAGATAAGCCTGGAAATAGAAATAGTATGGTTGGAAAATATAGTGCTTCAACACATCAATAGTAGAGGTTCTGACGGAGAGAATGACGACCAAAAATGCGTTGTCTTTGTCCTTAATGGGAAACTAACCTGAATATGATGCATTCCCGCACCGAATGGCAAAGTTGCACGTTGACACAAGTCCTCAAATGACCACTTGGAGGCACCGACAGTGACCTGAAGTCGTCTAACCTTGATGAGAAAATCCATGTGATCAAGAAGAGCCGATGGCGTTAACAGTCTCGGAGGAAATTCTTGATGACTGCTCTGTTCACCGAAGTGTGGATGATCCTCAGTGTTCACCACAGTCTGTAGTATGGTCTCCATGGTAACCATGAATTCGTGACCTGGTAAACCAGGCTGAAAGGTTCCACCACCAGATCTTGAGCTGGAATGCGAACCAAACGAACTGGACGATGCAGAGGCAGTATCTAAGTCGTCTACACCAATACTGCCAGGGAACCGACCTACAGGCATCATACCAAAGCGAGATCGAGGCGGATCATAACCTGAATAGTAAGGGTTGTCTGGATAAGCGCCATGTTGCCCAGCACGCTGCATCGCGCTAGCCAAGTATCGCCATTCAGAAATTAATCGGTCGCTTTCTGTACGAATAAATGAAGATAAAAAGGAAATCTTGTGAGCGAAAATCCGTCGACAGAGGGAAACCAGACAAAGAACGCATGTTAACATTAACTGAGACGTCACTCCGAGAGAAAGTAAGGTGAAACTCAGTGAAAAGTGTGGTGATTTGTCAACCAACAACTGCGTTCCGTACGGAGATCCCAATACCAAATCGAGTGCGGGATAGCTAAGTGGTTAAAGCGCGAAATTACTAACCGGACGGCCCATGGTGCGAAAACAAACTCTGCATCTCGACTGCACCTGCCTAGACTTGGGCAACCTGAGAGCATCTCAGGCCTCGCGATAACTTCGGGTGCCAAAGCAGCTAGACAGCTGAAAAATTATTTTTTACTTTAAATAATAGTAAGCGTTCAAGTGTAACACCCTTTCGGTGCTTAGCTGCCGTGCCACACGAAGGAAGCACGAGGGCGAGACGGAGAGCGCGAATTTACTGACCGAAAGATCCGTGGTTCGAACCCGATCTCCGCCTCTCAACTTCCCCTGTTTAGGTTTGGGCGAATTGGCAGTATCTCAGCCCTCGTGCTTCCTTCGGGTGGTGGCATGGCAGCTAGGCAGCTAGCTGAACAACTTATTTTATTATTATCAGTTTGCCCAAGCCTAGACAGGAGAGGTCGAGAGGAAGAGGTCGGATTCGAACCACGAACCTTCCGGTCAGTAAATTCGCGCCCTAACCACTGAGCCATCTCGCCCCTTTACACTGGTATTTAATAATTCATAGCTATGGCGGTCATAGTGCTGACGCAGATAGAAATGTGGATCTAGCGCTCCAATCCATTCAGCAAGGAACGTGTTACTACCAGGAGGCCAGCGGCGGGAGCAATTTATGGGGCAATTTCAAGTTAGAAACACATTAGAACAGCACCCGAACCGAGCGATGTTTAGAGAAAATCCACGTTGTGACAGGCAGAGGAGCCTGTCTTTCATCTGGCTGGAAAACTTGAATAAAAGGCTGTTTAGGAAATACATCAGTGAAGAGTTTGCTGCCACAAAACACAATATGTATGCTGAACATGCCTAAAATAATCATACGAGTGGCCTTGCTCGCCGACAAGCAGGTTTGGCCTCCACAAGCAAGCAGAAACACAGTCGTGTTCCATTTATTTTTGGTAACATAAGAATTCAACTGCCACCGTTTTCAACGTAACTGGTGGAATTGGCCAAGTGTTCTTTATGCAACGTTGGATTCAGTAGTGTTTGTAGTAGAATAAACAACCGCGAAAAACAAATGCGGCCGCAAAGTGGACCGAAGAAAAGAATAGAACTTAGCATTGATCCACCCTAAATTCATAAAATCTGGTTTCCCGTATTCAACAGCGTGGCACGGTATGACGAACACTCCAAAAATTAGAAAAAGAGAAGAACGAGAGGAAGAATTTGGGAAGTGTACGGGCCTAGGCTGTTCATTAGCCGTGAACAGTCACTCATGAAACAACTCCGATGTGCCGAGAGAGATACCGACAGCTGATAAGTACTCTCTGGCGCCAAAAATATTAGGTGAGAATCGACCAGATTTGATGCAAAAATAGTGTTGACAGACATTTGACGATTCAGTGCAACATGGAAAATCAACAAAATCGCAGCGTAAAATCATGAAGAAATAAGGGGACGGTTAATGTGGATCATGAAAAAAGTGTGAAACCTGCTAACATGTTGTGAGAATGGGTAGTTTTTATAGGGAGACTAAACAGGACGGTTCTGGAAGTCATAAGACGTAAGAAACATGAGTACGGTACGCAAGATGGTTACGATGATACGATGATTACGGTTGAGCTGTTCATTGAACCTATAAAATCTGTCACTCGCAGCCATACTGCCACTAATCGATAGGGACATTTCGTGCGTAACGTCTAATACGTAGAGTATATGCCCTCCGTAACAGGGGACGGGACGCCCAAGCTGTAAATAACTCTATATTTGTTGTATGGGCTCAGCAGAAATATGCCGGAAGCTAGGTCAACCATTCAAACTACTGCCATGAAAAGCATACTCTTTCGGATGCGCGGCTTCATCATTCCCATCGCAAATGCACGGTACCATCCTAAAACATTTTGTGTGATGCCTCTAGAATAACATCGAAATTCAGATAATGGTGCCACAGTGTGAATATAGAAAAATTCGCAGATCCTGACATTCGGTGATCTAGGGAGTGTTTCGGTATCGAAAATGGGATCGGTTGACTACACCGAAAGTTTGACCTTTACCACAATTCAGGACGGTGAACACGTAATTTCGACTGCAGGCACTTGGACAGTAGATCACTTCCCACTGTCTTACGCTGGATGAAAGTGATCCAAAGGGTTGCAGAAAATGGATTGCCAGCAGCGGACTAAAATCTTAACCTGCAAACTTGGAAGTACTGGTCACTCTAAGCTCTTCAATGGTAGAACCCCGGGCGGTAAGTACCAGTAGTTAAAAACTTTGAAAATCATATGGTTGAGAACAATTTCGTATCAGAACCATCACTTTTGGTTCACCCACTGTTTCATCCTCATTTAAGCAGACTAGCATCCAGAAGCTACTGTAAAGGTCAGGATGCTACTTCTCTCAGTGTATAGCCAACCACTCGTTGTTCTCCCGACTGTCATCCAACGGGACTATTTGGTTAAAGCCATCAAACCGTGGTGTGCGACTTATGGTTGCATCGCAAACACGATGTAGATCTATTTTATAACAGAAAACAAGCAAATCTACTAGTGGCCGTCTTGTGAGTGACTTGTTCTTATTCAACGCGTACGGTCCTGTAAGTCGGAGGGACGGAGGCTACAAAATGTTTCGGTACTGTCAATGCAGAACGCCTTCTAAAGGACAGCTGATGCCTGACAGGTGCTACATGGTTCTACCTTAAACCAGTGCTATCAGTTTCTTGTTCGACTTGGTTAGTGTTTACATGTGTAGGTGCCTTCGCTTTTAGTCTTCATGCTAATTTTCATGAATCATCATCATCATCATCATCATCATCATCAATGACAGCAACATCAGTGTTGGCACTGATGCTTCACTGCCGTACAAGGCACCACGCGACGGCCGATTTGGCATGAGAATATTGTTAGTTGTGTAGGTCATGGCTGTACGAGGGCTGGGATACTGCTAGGGCGCCCACACCTAGACAGGAGGACGATTAGGGTCCTCAACCAAAGCCTTTGGCTCAAAAGCCTAACCGCAAGGCAGCGGTGTTTGGCGGGAAATGCAAATGCATTACCATTTCTACGGAACAAGTCGCCACATGTTCCAACCCCCAACCTGGAGGGCCAGGAGACTGTGTTCGTCAGACCTCTAACCATTGACCAACCTGGTATGAGAGACTCTGTGAGTGTCGCGCGGACACCCCCCAGTATAGCTCAATGGGTAGCCGAGGTACACAAACCGCCACACCACGATAAGGTCCAGTCTCTTCGTGACGTTCTTCATGAATCGCTTACAAATTAGGGGTGTTACAACTACTAGTTCTTCCCATTAAGTAACAGCTGGGAAACTTGGAAACGCCCACAACCAATGCTTTCCTTAAATGAGCAAATCCAATGAAGGTGATTAAAGCGCTGACTACACCTTAGTCCGTGGGAGAAAAGCGTAAGCGGCTAAGTATACTACCATACTGTCAGAACGGAACATCCCACTTATCGAAAAAATACGTAAACTTCCCCAAGCGGTAGTTCGAATGTTTGTAGATAGTGGTGCGCATGTACCTGTAAAACTGACGAATGTGCATGCATGCACGCGCATGCATCATTGATCCATCTACCAGACACGTGAACTTGCATGGTGAATGATTTACGCGTCAGTAATGCAAAAACAGTGCAGACAGTATATCAGAAGCCAGCCACCTAGCTGATCACAGGACTACACCGTTTAGGTCCTAAACCAAGAGATATTAAATCCCTATAGGAGAATGGAGTGACTCACGTCAGAGTGGAGCTAATGGCGTGCGCCGTGTCGACAGAATCAGCCTGAATACACTATGAAACTATCCCGAGGATCATCAGTGGATCCTACCGTTACGAGAAAACCCGGTGAGCTCACCCAAAACAACAAACAGTAGGACTGACATGCGACTAAACCGCTAACGATGTATTCCGCCATGTTACATGTTGAAAACGACCGAAATTTAGGATAGGATTCCACGTTGGTTCACTGAATGAGCACCATAGCTCGAAAACAGCCCATTTAAGCTTCTTGTCCTTTGACTGCGTTGCACAACAGTACTCTGTTCAGTAAACTGAGTGCTTGGTGTCTTGTGACGATCACAGTTGACTACATACATTTCTTTGCTTTCTTTGTAAGTGTACGAACACTTATCCGCTAAGATAAAAAAAAATAGTCACTCAGCTGTAGCATCCTTTCGGTGCCTTGATGCCAAGCCACCCGAGGTGAGCACGAGGGCTGAGTACTGTCGGGTTCCCTGAACCACATTCGTAGGTGTAACTATAAAGATTCAGTTAACCTAGTAGTGAAAAGCTAGATGAGCAAGTTATTCGTCAACACCAGGTAGGGGGTAGAAACACTGAGTCACAAAAATGATGGCATCCATCGGTTCTATGCCAGCCTGGATAGACAAATAACCATGTAATCTAATAGAATACTTCCTCGACATCGGACAATCAACTCCTAAATGAGTCCTAACTACATTTTGATATTAATGCATACATTTAGGCGGGTGCAGATAGCTGTGTGGTCGCCAGGCGCCAGACGTACCAGGCCGGTGCTATTGTCATCAAACACGCAGACTCGGCTTTTATGTTCCAAATAGCAACAATGGTACCCCCATACACACACTAGTCAGTCGGTCGCCCATCGACTGCATACAAGATGTCGTTAACTTGTATGGCAGTGCGCTGTGCGGTAGGTCCGATGGTGGCACAAGCACAGTTAAAGGACAAGTACACAAAAAATATTGACTGGTGGTGTGTGAATCCTGGCGTGGTCTAATGCGTGTGCGGGATTCCGTCGGAACAGTGAATTGGAA